TCTTTTTTTTTTTTTTTTTTTTTTTTTTATTCTGCTAATCGCTAAGACAAACAAGTTTGTTTACATTGATGGGAGATACTGCTGCCTGTTCCTTATTTACGTCACCTGAAAGTGAGAACAGATGTTTGCATGACACTTTTGTAGTCGGCATGGCAACATATTTACATGCCAGATATGCTAAACATTCGTATGCCCCTTCCATGTTTGGCCGCCATGGACATGCTTCCATGCTGATGATGCTCATTAAAATAATGCGTCAATTAAATTTGTGACTGTTCTCCTTGGGGGGAGAATTGGATGTCTCCTGCTCAGTTTTAACTGCATTCTGCATATATTCCATGTTATAGCAGTCTCGGGTGATGACCCAGCACGTTTGTTTTAAGAACCCTTTCACAACAGATTTGACAAAACATAAAGACGGTACCGAAGTGAGATTTCTAAAAATAGCTACAGCACTTGACCCAAGGTTCAAGAATCTGAAGTACCATCCAAAATCTGAGAGGGACGAGGTGTGGAGCATGCGGTCAGATGTCTTAAAAGAGCAGCACTCTGCTGCAGAAACTACAGAACCCAAACCACCAAAAAAGAAAATCGACCTTCTGCTGGTGGCATCTAACTCAGACGATGAAAATGAACATGCATCAGTCCGCACTGCTTTGGATCGTTATCAAGCAGAACAATCGTAATCAAAAATAAATATAAAGTGAGCACTGTGTTGTAATTGAAATTAATATATTTGAAAATGTAGTAAACATCCAAAAATATTTAAAATAAATGGTATTCTATTGTTGTTTAACAGCGCGATTAATCACGATTAATTTTTTTCATCGCTTGACAGCCCTATTAAAAAACAAACGGGAAATTTAATAGGAAATGAGATTCAACCTGAGGAGTTGCAAGTTAAAAAAGAATCTGAAGAGAGATACTCAATGAGAGGGAAAATGCCTGGAAAATAGTAATAGTGAAATGACTAAGGCTATGTTTTAGTCATGGGTATTTTTAATAAAGTCATGGACAGGTCACAGTCAGTAAACAAAAATTCATGGCCCATGACCTGCCCATGACTTTTACTGTATACCCTCGACTAAAACTTGGGCCGGGGGGCTGTGGGTGCTCTGGGGGGAGGGGGAAGGGAAGCAGGCTGGGGGCACCGCGGGTGCTGGGATTGGAGTGGGGGGAGATTGATGGGGCTGGCAGGCTCCCTTCCCAGCTCCGACTGACATGTCCCTGGAGCTCCTAGGGGGAGGAGCGGCGGGGGGGGAGGGGGCGCGCCGTGTGCTGCTCCTGCCAGAAGCACCGGCTCCACAGCTGCCAATGGGAGCTGCAGGGGTGGTGCCTGTGGGCGTGGGCAGCGCTTGGAGCCCCCTGGTCCCTACGTGGAAAAGTTGCAGGGACATGCCAGTGGGAGCCGGGGACCCGCCCCAGGTAAGTGCCATCCCAACCCTGTGTCCCAGCCCTTAACCCTCTCCCTCACACCCAAACCGCTGCTAGCTATGGTGCTGCCCAGCTCGGGCAGCTGCAGAAGTCACGGAGGTCACAGAAAGTCACGGAATCCGTAATCTCCATGACAGACATGCAGCCTTAGTCATGGCAGATTGATTTGATGTTAACTGTGGTACGTTGTGGAAGGGGAAAATAACCTTCTATGACCTCTTACCGGGGCTGTTGGGGAGAAAACTGTACTCGTTCTAGGGGTAGAATGGGCATGCCATGCACCTGAAACCTGAAGTAGAAGGACCAGGTTGGGGGGGTGAGAAGGTAATTAGCTTCTGTGTCTGTTCAGTCCTGGTCCCTCTGAGACTGCTGATAGGGCTGGCAGTTGGTGCATTTTGTGATGTGGCTATTTGTGCCCATGCAATTAAATGTAGACCAGCAACTCCTCTAGTTCCCTTTGCATTATTTTTGTGTGCAGAACCTCCTGTGTTGTTGTAATCTGTGAAATTAACCCCTACCCAGTGCTTCACTACACTGGGTTTTTTTCCTCATCATCCTTTTTAAGGCCCTTGGTATGAAAACTGCTCTGGGACAATACTCCGATCTAAGCCAGTTCTAATTAATTTTTCAAGGTGGAATGAAATGTTTTGATACTTCCTTCCACTACTGCAAGTGAATTAAAGGAAGACTTTGTAGAGAAAATAGTATCTTCAAAATAATGATCGGCATCCTCTGCAGCTCAATTCACAGAGCAGAAATGATCATCATGCTTAAGACCTATTCTGTTTTGCTTCTGAACAGCTGCTACAAATTAAAATAGTACTGCAATGATGGTGGAGAGTGAGGAAATTATAAGTTATTTGTAAAATGGTGGAGAGCAGCCAGATAGTGACCATTCACCTGAAGAGGTTTATACTTAAAATATGTATTGTTTTGCAGGTTGGAAAAAGGCAGCAATGAAGTCAACTTTATCTTCACCCTGAGAAATACTGTGCAGAGCATTGAGCAACAAACATACTGTTCTCCCAGTGTGAAGCATGTCTGTCACTATCAGCATCCTCCACACAAAAAAAAACCAGTTTTTTTTTCAAATAAAACATTGGTGCTGAATCAACATTGATTTATAACTTTTGATTTATGATGTGGGGACTATAAGCATGGAAAGTTCTGGTAGACCTCTATTCAGAGTATTGATAACCGGGTTTTCAAGTTTGTAGACACTATAACCCAAGGCAGGTTAAATTTATTATATGACTGAACTGCATTTATGGTGTTTCTCCAAGATAGAGAAATAACTGAGTTAAATGACACCATCAATTCTTATAATCAGGAAAAGGATGGGAGTTAAGTGTGGTAAAATTAATGGAAGTTGAAGCAAAATCAGCAAACTTGACACCTGCTGATATACAAAGTCTGGTTGTTACATGCTATATCTCAAAGTAGCACCCTGTAACTCCCATATTCATCATTTGTATATCGTGATTTTTCATAAAAAGCATGCCATGTAAGATACCATATCTGCTGAAACTCATTGTTCTGTCAAACTGTGTGCATCACTATGGTGTATGAAGTTATGAGATTTTGCTGTATGGTTGTGGTTGAAATATGTTGAGAGTTTGGGACTCGCCCACTGCTAGCTCTCCAGTGGCTGAGGGTGGTGACCCACACCCAAGGGGGTGTTAAAACTACAATTGATCAGAATGGTAAACAAGAAATCTACAATTCAATAAGACAGTTACAGAAGAACCACACAATTAGGATTGTTCAACTCTGACTCAGCAAGGCATGCCTGGGCCAGTTTCTTTCCAGGGACATGGACTAAGAGTATAAAATAAGGGACAATGACATCATGAGATGACCTCTCTCCTCCCCCACTTATGCCAAAGGCAACAAGAATCCTGGGAAGACAAAGACTGAGAAGGAAACTCAGACTGTATTAAGATCTGCAACCTACCTGCAACATCCAGTGGGTTGAGAAAAGCAGATTCAACTCTTGCTTAGGCTTTGTCTACGCTACCACTTTTGTTGGTCAGGGGTATGAAAACAAACACACCCCTGGCTGACATAGCTAAACATGACTCAATGGGGGTGGTTTAATTATGCCGGCAGGAAAGCTCTTGCCTGCTGGCAAAGAGCAGCTACAGGGGAGACTTTACAGCGGCACATCTGCACCACTGTAAAGTCTGTAGTGTAGATGTAGTCTTAGTGTAAAAGTTTAGCATTTAAAATGTTTAGTTTTTCTCTGACTTACGGCTGCCACGTAAAAAAATCTATTTTCTGTAGTCAGTAAACTTGTTTTACCCTTACCAGCAAGTTTGTCTAAAGTACTGGGAGAATCTGCTCAGATTACAAAGGCTGCTGCATGTTCCCTTTCCTTGGATGAAGTGGCAATAAGCTTGAACTGTTCAAGAGAAGGTCTTGAGCAGTGTAAAATGGTATATTATTGGGGTGTAAGGCTTGGGCAGTTTTGCTGTTTCCCTAGGTATGGTTCATTCATGCAGCTTAGATTGGTTTGCCTCTGCATGCTGGTGGCTGAGTGATAATCCCTGGAGAGATTTTCTCCTTGTCACTGACAAAGCACTGTGGAGAGCCCAGGTTGGAGAGTTAAAGGGACACAGCTGTCTCACAGTTCCTGGTTGCAGCCTGTTGACCCTGTCACAGTGTACAGTTAAGTGGTTAGGTTGTCATATGATGGCTTATGGAAATTATATAAAATGTTTCAGGGG